GGAGGGCTCTGCCCGCGCCCCCATCCAGGCTGTGGAGCTCTGCCATTCCCGGGGGAGGGAGAAACGGAGGAGGGCGGCAGCGCATCCCCAGCATCTCCCCTCAGGGCAGGGCGGCGGGGCTGACACTGGGGATCCGCTCCGTCCTCGGCTTGGCGACGGGGAAACCAAGTGCCAGGGGCGAGGCGACTTGATGGAGAGGAACCTCCCTCCCTTCCCCGCCCTCCGAGGAGGGGGAGTCGGAGCGGGGCCTGCGCCCGGCGCGGCTGCCGGGAAGGGGCCGCGTTCGAGGCGGCCGCCCTGAACACGCACGTGGGGCTGAAGGGCCAGAGATGGGAATAAAAACAAATCCCGAACGACAACAGCTAAGTGAAAGCACTGATTTAGAAAGCCGACCAGAAAACTAACCCTTGCAAGTAGGATTCGCCCTCCCCTTGGCTGCACTTATTGGCCGCGCTCGTGTGCAACGAGCTCGTGTCTGCCAATGCCACTGGTCGGCCCGCGTGTCCATCACCACGGGAAGAGCAATTCGCCGCTAAGGGAATAGATTCCCATCCATCCATCCATCACAAGGCTTAGCAGGTAGCCGCCTAGAAATCAATCACACACTAATAGAAAAAAAAAAAAATCCTTCTCCATCAAATTACTACTGTAGTGCTCCCAGGAAAATATCTATTGTATCCTTGGGGAACATAGGCGTGGACTTCATCACATTCATCACTTATCCAGCCTAAAATAATCTTTTATTTAAAAAAAAAATAAATAAATCAACCCCAGCATCATAAATGAGGGACCCCAGTAAGTATTCATTAATTATATAACTGAAAAATAATACCCTGTTAGCGTCTGTTTCCATTTGCCAGCAACTAGAAGGGAACAGAAATCTTTCACCTTTTTTCCTGACACGGTTTTTAAAACACCAAACATTATCCATTATTTAAGTATAAAGCTAGGAATTTCCAAAACCCATCAATTCTATTCCAGAAAACTTTACCAACAACAATATTTTTAAACACTAGGCACCAAAAAAAAAGAAAAAATTTGAAAGCATATTAAAAAATAGAGTCCTATGGCTGCTTTTAATAGAAATTGCAAGAGAGGTTTCTGGTTGACGATTCTGTAGGGAGAGGCACTCTGTTACCAGAATAAGATGTGCACTTGGTCCCATTTATTACAATGTATTTCCAAGGCAATAAAAAAAGCCTATTCTGCAAATTCATCTCCAGATTCAGCTACCAGACAGTTGTGAAAAGCAATACCAGCATTTCCTTAATCACAGTAAATTTACAGCCATGCATCCCAGCCATATTCTTGTTCGAGCTTCTCACCTTTCAAATCATTGCATCTGCCTTCCGTCCTCACATGGATTTTACAACATCACGTTTAGCTGGCATCCCATTTGCGCGGCGGAGGGAGGCGGCAGGGCGAGCCGGAGCCGCGCAATGCCTGCCAGGGGCTGCCGAGGAGGAACCTGCTGCGGCCGGGGGAGGCTCGTGTGCCCCTGTCCCTCGTCGTTCCGTCCCTCAGCGAGTCTCCCTCAGTCAGCTGCGAGCCCGGCTGTCTGGGCTGCGAGTCCCTGACTCAACATTCCCAGCATTCCCGAGGAGCCGGGGCTCCAGCGGCGCGGCGCGGAGCCGCCGGGGGCAGCAGCAGCAGCAGCACACGCACCGCAGCCCGTGATCCCTGCGAGCGGCTGGCCCTGGCCATTCATCGCCAGCCCGCGGGTTCCAGTCCCCACCCAGCCAGCGGCTGCGAGCGTCTTACTCATTGGGAAACAGCCTAAAAATACACCTAGGTCTGCGTAAAACTGCAGAGGATAAATTGCTTTCTCGCCCCTGTTCACCGAAGGCCAGAAATGTTCAAAGGCAGGTGCTTCAGAGCATGATGTCTAAAAAGCCATTGCTACATGCTTGTATTTACAGAATAAACACAGAAATCTGAATCTATGTTTGGGCTTAAGTGTCAAAGAAATTAAGATGACATCCATATTTATTTGTGTTTATTTTTCAAAAAACAGTATGCAGAGGAGGAAAAAACCACAGGTTTAGCTGCTACACAAAGCCTGAAAGCTTCTTCCATAAGAAAACTGCAAACTGCGTTAAAAATTATTCCTGAGATTTTATTGCTTTTTATTAACAGGAGTGAAAGAAACTTCTCTAAACATCACCAGCATCCTAAGAACAGAGGGTTTGTTCCTTTTCTATTTTTCCCTCTTCTCAATTCTTTTTAGTTTAATCGATTTGCATACAATTATAAGTGATCACCTTTGGTCTTTGGCATCAACGTGCCTTCATACCTTACCCTACACAAAATTTCACAAACTTTTTATCAGTCTCCTCCTGATCTCATTGCCATAACAATGATTTTAAGAACAATTTCAAATTTGTAGTTGCTTTAATATAATCTCTATTTTATTTCTGTCTTGCCCACATAGGCATCTATAAATGCCACTATTAAACAGCATTGAGAACAACAGCTTTTATGGAATTACTGTTTAAAAATATATCAAATCAAATCGATTTCAACCAATTGTATTAAAAATTAGTGTAACACTTTATTGCAGTACCTCAATTATCCAAAGCCAGCCGAAATAATAGGCTGTCATAGGAATTTATTTGGAGATGATAGACTGTCATTCCCAGCAGGAGCATAGCAGGTTTGAATTTCCCTAAGAAAGGGACACAATCTTACAGCACCCACCTTCTTTAGCTATAATTGCAATAGAGGGCAAATACTTTTTCTGAGTTCAAAGTAATGGAATAACCATGATTAAAATGCAGACTTATTTGAAGACATTTCTGTTCAAGTCGTTTCAAAACCATGAAAAATAGGGACAGAGAAAATCTGTTCCTGAAGAAATTGACAAGAAGGGACGTGGTTTTGTATACAAATAATTTCACTTGATCTGAAAAGCAAAGTAGACCTCAAGAGTTAGCAAGTCTGCATCTGTAAGAAAACGGATAAGCACTATAAAATGTGGGTCACTACACTGAATGCTTCAGAGCACAAGAAGTGTCCATTTTCAGCTTAGCCCTTAATTTGGATTCAGTGTGAAATAAGAACCTCTTCTAGACCTCAATATTGCTAAATCCAATTCTGTCTCAGTACTGTTAATGATGACAGGACTTTTGTTCTAAGAGGTGTCAGTTCCTGACAGTTTTTTAAACAACATGTCACACCATTCCTGTCTATATGAAAAGACAAGGAACATCAGGTTCTGCCTTATCTTTTTTGTGACTCATTCCCTGGCAAAGACTAAGGGCCTTGTGATAGCCAGCAAAAGCCAGAAGTGTCCTGACAGAGCACCAGTGGCCTAAGAATCTTCTTTCCAAGGAATAATCACTGTGGGAAGACAGACAGCTGCCATAAGGCTGCAACAACACTGCAGTGAATTGAGCTTGCTGTCATTGAATGAACTTTATAGCAGAGCTCATCACAGCCCATCCCAGAGCTGCAGACCCTCTGCAGGGGACTGGCAGCACTATATTCTGTGCCAAAGAACAGAATATACCCACCATGGATAAGACCATTGAAGATCTTTGTGTGAAAAAAGTGTTTTGCCAAATTGTACTCAAAAAGACTTGTTAGGAAAATGTGCAGTTTAAGAGAAGGAGGGGAAAAGTAATCAGAATTTTACAGCTAATCTACTTATTGTATTAGTAGGAACAACATCCATGCAAAGAACCTCAGGGTCACATAATCCAAACCCTTCAATAATATTCATTCCTTATGTTCAAGACCATGCTGGAATCCAAATCCAAAGGGTAGGATAATAACAATTGTGTCCTTAAGGCTGAATTCTTTGCAGCTGATGAAAGTTCTCATTTCAGTCTAATCACAGGACCATCTGTGTTGCCCTCAGTGCCATGATGCAGGTGGGTGCCATTAAGCACAAAAAAAGCCAGATCATATAAGTAAACTACCACTTTTTTCTTTTTTATTTATTGTAAGAAGTTCCCATTAACTACTAGATATATCTTTCAACCAACTGTTAGAGGAAAGCAGTCTGTTGTAAAACTTAAACCGCTATTTATAATATAAAGTGCCATGTGATGCAGTGTCTAATGTTTGCACTTGTCAACAATTTCTATCTTCAAATAGATTTTTGGCTAGCAGACTTCAGTTTATTTGTTTTCTACCTTACAAATTCAGTATATTCACAGTTCTTTCTGCTTTCACGTCAGGAGCTGCGGAAACCCCACTGAAATTATTAGTGGTTTGTTTGTTTTTTGGTTTTTTTTAATTTCAAATAGCCCACATTAAGGCCCTAACCAAGTAAAGTAAATATGAAATACAGATTTTCAAGTCTCTTCCTTTATCTACACTATACTGATCTTGGAAGCAGAAAAGTATAAAACATGCTTATTACAACTATCCTATTTACTTATTCTAAGTATAAATAGTTCAAAATAACATAATGTAGAATGTGACTTACTCTCTTCAATTCCTGTGCATCCCTTCATCCTTCCCATTTCTTTCTCCTCACCTGTGGTACTAAGACTTTAGCAGCAGCCAGCTCCCTTTCATGTTTTGGTGCAGATGGATGTTCTTTAGTGCTTAATTTCTTTAAAAATAGAAATAGAAGCTTGGTCCCTGCTGCATAATTCCTAGCAAGCAACTGCAGGAATGTGCTTTAAAAACCAAGGAAAATGCATTTCAGCTGTAGTCATTGAACCTGGCCCCACCCTATTCCTCTGTGCTTCCCTAACTTGATTTACACTGAAATGTACAGAACTAAAAAAAGTGGTGATCAGATTCAAGTAAACCCTTGACCCGAAATAAACAAAAACCTCCAAACAAAAAAAGTAATTTAAATAAAACTCAATTTCCTCTTGATTTCAGAATGAGGCCCTATCAGTCAAGTCCACAGAAAAGGTGCATTCATCAGTCATTAACTATGGACTGTTCTTTCCTTTCAGTTTCTATACTCACCTGCAGAGACCTATCAAACTGAATTACAAAATAGTTTCCACTACATGTTAAGCTTCTGTTTTGCTTTCCTTGTGACATACCACCCAAGACTGCTATAGTGATTTTAAAAATTATTAGTATAATTTATTTATTATTAATTGCCATGATCACATGCTTTCCAAAGAATGGAAAACTGTTACCTGAATATACCTGAACACAGAGGAGGCCATTGATAAATTCATTTTAATGTATTAAAATGCAAAAAAAAAAACCCAAGGAAAATATACTCTTTTGTAAATACATAATTTAGCAGTTTATTGTGTACTGCACAGCCAATATCTATTCAGGATAGAAATAAAGCTACTCTGGCAGATACTGTTAACATCATAGTTAGAAGTAGAGCAAAAACACAAAAATAACTTAATAGTAAAAATATCCATCTCACAGAAGATCTCCAGCTTCCACATCTCAAAACAAGGCTATTAATAGGCATTTGCACCAACTCCACATGTTTCAGAGAGTTAAAAATAATTCTTAGGAAAATTCAAATTCCAGGAATTTTTAACAGTATGTAGCAAAGACAGCTTAAACATCTTGAATTAGGTTTAACATTTTAAATTTTATCAATGGCACTTTATTTTCCTGGTTGGAAACCCAGTATTACTGCTACCACCATTGTACACACAAATATGCATGATGTCTGTTATATGCTAAATGAGTGCTGACTAGCAAACTCTCAGATGTTGGTTTGGGTTTTTTTTAATCATTTCAGAGCTAATGTCCAACTAACTTTTCAGTAAGAATTAAGCTTTCAAATGCCAACCTCACTCCTGAAAAGTAAATCCAGACACTAAAATTTTACTTACAAGTGTCAGCACGAGGCACTTCATCTGAAGGCAGCTGAGGTTCTCCTCTCACTTCTCAAGCTGCAGAAAACACATCTCCTTCCCCACTTGGATCTCAACCTCCACAGCAAACCTGGCACACACAAACACTGGAACTGCAGGACTATTCACCCCTACCCATCACCTTTTCCCTGCAGAACCACAGGGCAGTTGTTCAGTGAGGGACCCTTTCATTGGCAGCACAATCTCCTCCAATTTTAAGCAGCTGAGTACTGGAGCCTGCGGCACTGCCTTAATCACATTCACGTGGTGGCAGGGGAGGACTGGGGCAGAACAAAACTACCTGAGCTGGGGGAGCTAAACTATATCCACCACTGCAGTCCCCAGTGGAAGCAAATTTCCACAGTGAGCATGGCTCTATTTGGTTATTTAACCAAATTCAGGAATCATGTGAAAATAATAAAACTAGTAGCCCTGTATGGCTGCTTTGAAAGTGACACTGAGCCTACAGCTGCTTTCTTCTTTTGTGCTCCTTGTGGATTCTGTTGAGTGTCCAACTGAATAAGCAGAAATACAAAACACCTGACCATGGATGGCAACTCCAGCTCCCACAAATGTTCATAATTAGCTAATAACTGACATTACATAGCAGGTGTGAGCTTCACACTACTGTTACATTTATAATAAGGTGACTTGATAGTGTTCCATCTGTTACTCTATATAGACACACTGAGACAATTTCTAGACTGTTTTGAGAGGGTAACACATTATATCCACTTTATAATACTTCACAGGATTACACAAAGTACATTTATGGAGAATTAAGTTGGATTTATTTTATATATTAACTTAAACTATTTACAACATGGTTTTATAGATCCTTTTACACATACAGTAATTCACCTCTGCATGCAAACATAAAAAAAACCTCCACAAATTCCACAGTAAAAAAAAAAAAAAACTGTGATACAAAGGTTCAGGTTGTCTCAATCTTGAAATCTTCTTCACTACAAAGTCCCAGAGCCTTTAAGAAGAAAACACTTTTCCCGCATCTGTGGTTCATCCAAAACTTCTGTGTTACTATGCAAAAAAAAAAAAACCAACCTAGATAACACAAGAACATTTGATTTCTACCTGCTAATGTAGGTTTTATTTCATGTACAACCTAAGGCTAGACAAAGAATCCTACGTTTCAGTAACCAAACAGTTGTCACATACTCCATAATCTTCACTGAAGTAACCTTAACTTTGTCTCATTTTACTCACAACAAGATCTCATAACCATTGGATATCCATTTTGTCATTGAGATTGTCAGTGCTGTGACACAGAATAACAAATAGCACAAACAATTCTGACTACTTCATTTAAGTTCTGGTCTTTAAAATTGAAGAAAGATAAAACATAGGCTTTAAAATTGAAGAAAGATTAAATATAGGTTTTAAAATAAAGGCTTTAAAATGTCCTTTCACCAGTATTTCTATGTCAATCATCTACTAGGCTGACTTTGTGAAATATCAGGACTTCTCCCACATTTGAGCAAAACTTGGCCACTACTTGAGGATTTGACTTCAAGAGGTTATGTCCCCTTATTGTACCAATTCTAGAACTAAGAGATGATGGTCTTTTTCTCCTTTATCACTTAGAACCAGCCCTGTAAACCATATGAATGCAAGCACATGTAATTAAATTTTTGTAGAACAACTCCTTGGTATAAAGAAGAAATGTCTGAGCATTATCTTGATTTGTGCCTCTGGACTCTCTCAACTCCCAAACCAGCATATTCCCATGAAGAATTCCAGTTGAGAATATGCACAAACTGATGCCAGTTTCCAGAACATCCTTGAGAACTGGGCTGGAGGGCGTTTGTCCAGTCCAAAACATGGGTTTTCTAACAATTCAACAGTTCAGTTTCTGTGCCAAGTGTTTCCTGAACCTGTTTCATTTACTAGCAGAGATGTAACTGTAGGTGAAGTTCCTTCTCTCTGGATGATTGTCTGACTACAAAAGCATCTAATGAATAAGTTCCCCTCAGAACCTGAAATGTGCCTTTAAAGAAAGCCTATTCAGTACTGATGATTGCAGATGAAGCACTTTCCTTAGGGGAGGCTTTAGATCCAGGATTCAACTTGGCAGTGCCTTTTTTGCATTCCTCCCCTGAGAGTTTCTGCTTTCTTCATTGCTCCAATCCCACTTTTACATCCTATTCCACTCATAAAGTTTGCTGATTATCTTTCTAACTAAGAGCAATCTGTGCCTTCAGTGACAGAAACACAATCACACATTGTAACAGAAGAACTTATGCATGTACCAATAATGGAGGTCAACATTAAATTGAACTGATGACTTTTTATTTCTTTATTAAGCTATATAGAAAAAAATGAGAAGACTCACAAGTTAAAATAAAAAGGGAGAAATACTTTTAATTGTCAGCTTGAAATTATATAACATTTCCCTACAACTGGGTATGAAATGGCTGCTAAAGTACAGGAATTCCTCCCTGCCAGTCTGGCACTTCTATTTCTTGTGGGCTGCAAGACTCAGGGTGTGCAGATCGTGAGCATGACTGTGCCTGAGGTGTAACTGTGCCATGGGGGAGAAGGTGGCTCTCATAATAAAGTTCTTGCAAATTCAAGGATTTTTTTTTTTGTCACCACTTTATCAAGTATTGCTTAGAGAAAAAAAAATCTACATGTGATTATCATTAATTTGGTTAGTCCATTTTTGTGAACTTTCTCACTGTTTAGTTGACTTTATTGGGAGAGTCCAATTGAGGAATGACAAACAAAAACATCACAGGAAACTGTCAAACTTTAAGCTTGGTAGAAATAAATAATAATCTGGAGGGGTTGTTTCCAACCAGTTCTGGATATGGATTAAATATACCATAGCAACTTTCATTTCCCCATAATTTTTCTGTCCATTTAGACATAATCTTGGGAAGAAAACTTACTTGAAATAGCAATTCAAGTAAATTATACACCTTGAAAACACAGGAAGAAAAATGAAGCCTATAAACATTTGTTATTCTATCCTTCACTCACCTTTAAAGGTGAAGAAATATAGATGCTGCTGTCAATGCATTGGTATTGAGGATTCTTTTGCCAAATGTGAAAAAAATCAGAAGAAAACCATAATCTATGCTGAAGCAATATAGAAATGATGAGAAGCAGATTTAGAACTCCCAGGAAAAGCCAGGCAATAGAACCAAATAGAAGTATTGGTAAAACTCTTTTTGTTAAATTACAAGCTAGAGGAAGCAATGCAATGCAAAATTTCACTACATTTATCAGCCACAGAGAAGGTAAGAGAAAAGCAATGGAAAACCTCACAAATATAGCTTATTTCCATTTTTTGCTCCTTCAGGATGTCAGACACCTATATACAAGTGAACTATTGACTCTAAACAAAAAGATTTTTCATGTTGGGGAAAGCAGTATTTTGCCACACAGTACGGAATTTATTCTGAAGTCTTCAGGGCAATCAGAAAGCAAATATGTATAGCACAGGAGAGACAGGCAAACCATATTTTACAGCAGCAGCCTGTGAAGGGAAGGATAAATGCATTAATCACTTGAGTATAGCTCAGTTTAAAAGATTTTTATAAACCATGAAAGATCAGACTACAATACAGAGCATGATTTCTTGATCCCTGAGCACACTGTGCTGCTGCTGCTATGTGAGAGGTTCTTAATTCATGTTAAAGATGGTATATGACCATCTTTAACATGAATTAAGAACCAGAGAGACCTTGGGATAAAACAGGAGGCAGAAGTAACAGGAGCAGTATTTTAAATAACATTTCTCTGCATCTTGTTTACACTTACTTAAATTGCTCTACTCCTTATTTAAACTTATTTTCAATTTTCAAATATATATTTTTATTTCCTGCATTAAATCTTTTTTAATACCCTGACCATGCAGCCATGAAGAGGAGTACATTTGAAAATTAGTAGAAATATTTTGCAGCTACAGCAATTGGTCTAAGAAAACGTATTACCTCTCTGCACAAACCTTATCTCACTGGAAATATTTTGTCTGCTCCTTTTATGCAGTTAATTGGATTTGTGGTTTTGGTGTTAAGGTTCAGTTGCAATTTTAGGATCCTAAACATTTCCATGGCCTGTGCTTGACAGACAGAAGGGTTCATTTAGAAATAAAAGGTAATGTAAACTACTTTGTGGTTTTTAATGAGAAGAAAAGTTGGGAACATAGGAGCATAACTAGAGAAAACGGTATTTTGGAAGTTAACAGTTATTTAATCCATAATAGTTTACAATTATATTGAGTGAAATAGCATTTCTGTGGTATCATTACAGAGCAGAGATTATGGTGATTCACAATGTATTATAAGGAACACAAGAGAAGAAAGAAGATCAGGCTTATGAAGGATTTAGTTTGGTACAGCAGCAGGTACTCAGGAGCGTAAGGTGAGTTCAGGTTGTGAGCACATAAACCCCCCAGACCTCCAAGGCCTTGCATAGTTCCTGCCCAGCACACCCATTACTGAACTGTCCTTTCACACCTGCTAACACAAAAGGAAGGTTGGTAGGCAAGGAAAAATGCCTGGCAGAAATATTCTGGTTACACTTTTTCTTGCAGGGCTCCTGCCTGCATTCAATTTTCATGAGCTCTCTGTAAGGCAGATTAGGCTGCCCAAAGGCTCTGAGTCTTGGTTTCAGGCCCTTCTCAGACCCTGCTTGCACTAGAACACAGGTTTTCTTTTTCTTGCCAGGCTGCTTTCTTTGCTTCTTAAGAAGGTGCAGATTGTTGGGTTTTTTCCAGTCCTCTTCTTCCTCCCATTTTTTTTTTTTTTTTTGATAAACACAGCCGGCAGCAAAGGCAGCTGTGGAACTGAAGGATGGCGTCTGACAGGTAGCTCCTGGTGAGATGAAGCCAGCAGGGGTATAAAAGCCCAAAAGCATGCCTTTGAAAGAAGAGTCACGTTCCTAAATATTGAGAAGTGATTCTCTTAAGATAATACTTGCAATCAGCACTCAGCATGTGCAGCAGCCACGTCTGCAAGACAAAATTGGCTACTTCAGGGAGTTCAGCAGAAAGCAGACGGTTGGGGTACTGCAGTTCTCCTACACTGAGTTATTAAAAGACAAATCCTGTATGCTACTGAAGCTCAAACTGAGGTGTTCCAAAATCATGCAGCTCTGATATAGAACAGAAAATATTCAAGATCTGCATATTGCCATTTGAAATTTAAGCTGTGGTCACCAAACCCACCCATGTAATTAGCGTGGATCTTAGAGATTCTCTTGGCAGAGCAGCTGGGAGTGCAGAACGCTTTCAGAGGTGTAGAAATGACTAAGACACAAGTAGAGCAAAAAAACCTGAGGAAGATATGAATAAGAGAGGTGGGGGAAAGATCAGAATAAAGTACTGCAATCATTAGAATTTTTATTTGTAGAAGAAAAAAACTCCATGTCGCAATGGAATTATGGCTGTGGTTATGGACCAGATACCAGAATTAGTGGAAGTTACTGAGTTACCGATTAAGTACTTTTTATTAGCCCAGGTGCAGCAATGGCCAGCACTTCAAGTACAGGGATGATGATGCCTACACCAATGCCCTCTGCTAGTGAGGTTTGGATGGAATTTAGAATACAGTATTATCCCTGAGATTGTAATTTTCTTCTTACTGTAGAACCCAAGGTGGACCAGTATCCCTAAGTTTGCACAGTTCTTATACTCAAAATCCAGATTGTTTCCTAGCACTCTTCTAGCACTATCAGTGCTATTTTTTATTGCAGAAACATAAACTAAAGATTCATCTGTTTTACTCAATCTCTCATCATTAGATGCCCCCTTTTCAGAAGACATGGTCTTTTCATGGTCTGATTTTGAAGGGAAGCTATCAAAAAACCCATAAATTGTTGAAACATTATTTTCATTTTTATATGCTGTTCCCTCTGCTGCTCTCCTGATGCAATCATATTTCATAGGAACACTGTAAGGATACTTCTGAGCTATTTTTATCTTTCCCAAGTCATTTATTTGCAGTTTCAACTTGTTTGTTAGTCAGAATTTGAGTAAGCATATATCTAAATTATTGTTTCTATCAAATACATATCTCTCTAGGAAAAAGGAACATCATTATCTTTAAAGTGTTGACATACACTTGATTGGATAAATTTATAGTAGATCAAATAGCATTTTTAAATCTAAAATAAATGCTTGTGTAATTTTAGTTAAAAATTCCATTTGTGTCTAATTAAAGACTCATCAAAGGCTACAGAGCATCTATATGTTATATACAATAACAGACATTTGGTTTTGTCATCAGAGGAAAAAACATCTATTTATTGATAAGCCTGAGTTATATTTTAGGAAGTGTTACCATTCTGGTCACTCAGTTGTTTCCAGACATCCTTTGGACAATCTGCTATTATTCAGAGGTGGTGTGTCCTAAGGACAGCAGAGTGCAACTGTGCTTTTTCTTAGTTATTTTGTGATAAGCGTTAGAGACCAGAATTTAACAACTCCAAGAACAAAAACGGACTCTTGTAACAGGGGCACTCCTGCCAAGTGAAATCCATGGGTCCCACAGCTTCTGTCACATGCAGCCTGTTGGTTGTTTAATTTGTAAATACAAACACTGCATAAATCAGGAAAATTTTCAATCTAAACAGGGATAAAGTATAACAGATGGCTGTGGAACACAGATGGAAGGAGGGAAGAGAAAGTCTTCTTTGCTGTATCATATTTATTAGGAAGACAGAAATAGATGTTTCTGAAGCACCTGTATTTTGATCTTGGAACTCTCATAAATCAATTCCTCACAAATTGCTCAGAAGCTTCAGCCCTTTAGGCACTCAACAGTCCCACTGCCTCTATTTTTCTCCCTTTTTAAAATTTTGCATGACATGAAGTTCTAATTATCACAGAAATCATCTTTTTACTCACCAAACCAAGAGTTAAATGTGTAAGCATTTTATGATCTCCCAAGTGGCCTTAAAATTTAGTTTAATCCCATGGTGGTGTTATTTGGTTTATTCAAACTTCACAGGTATAGAAAGGTCATCAGAGAGGTCTCAAGTGCTCTATGTTGCTGATTTCCTTAGCATGAGAAAAGAAAACACAGTAACTCCTTTTTTTAAGGGAAGAGATGGAGGTGAAAAAGACACAGCAACAGGTCCCTTCTATCTATTATGTCTCTCTCTCTCTGTATATATATGTGTGTATATATATATATATATATATATATATACACACACACATAGATCATTCAGACAACCACCCCACCTATACTGCAATTATCAGGGGTGATATGTATAAAGCAAGTTCTATGTAAGGAATCCCTTCCAGAAGAGATATTATGCAAAGCTTCACTCCTGCCAATTATTTAAATCATTTATGAAATATTATATATCATACACATGAACAGCCATGGAGCCTTTCTAACACTATTATTTTCAGTATTTTACTTCTCCCTGAGACTGAACAAAAGAATTCATTTACCTTGAAAAAAATCAAATTACAATTTTTCAAAAGTCACATTGCATAATGCCACGTAGCCATAGAGATGAGATGAAACTGCATTTTTGTGTGCTACTGGAAACAAGAGCAGTGTACATGCTATGAAAGGGAGATGCCATTTAGAGTACAATCTAACATATTTGAAGAAAAACCTTATCAAATTCTTTATTAATACTGGTCTTTTTTGCAAAAGGAAAAGTGAAGTAGGGAGGGAAGAGGTTACACCCCAATTATCCAGGAAGAGCAAGCAGAGTGTTTGAGCTCCTGGCCATAGGGCAGTTTCACAGGCTATCTTTGGAAATTCCATTTGAGCATTTCTGACAGGATAGCAGCAGCACACAGTATATGTAGCTCTGTAATTTAACTCCCAAAATATAAGTCAAAAAGCACTCACAGACATACAATTGGCTGAGAATAATCATCCAAAATCTCAGGGAAAATATTTGTAATGACTGTTAGAAACATAAATCGTCATTCCTGTGTCAGTGTGCAGCCTCTACTCTTGCAGCTTTCCAGATACAGATTCCTTTTCTGAAACATTCATTGGTCTGGCAATAATCCTTTCAGACCCCAGTTATTTTCAATTTGGTGTACATGAAAGTGACAGAATTCAGGTCATTCTTATGATTATGACCCAATAATGTACATTTCTGAATTACCCATGTTGTGAAAGCATACTCAGTTAAAAACCCAGGTATGACACAGCACTACAAAACTCCCTTTCAGAAACTGGTAATTTTTATAACCCATAAAGATTTGTCCAAGTATGAAGCAATTACTTGTAGATACTGGAATAATGGCTGGCAGATTTCATTTGTCTCAGAATATAACACAGCAGCACTATCAGATGTGCACTTGCTTACAGCAGGACAGAAATGAACTCCCTGCAGAAGGAGCTCCAGCCTGACCTGAGCTCCAGAACACGGTGGCTCCACGTCACACTTGTCCTCACCATGGTCAGGCTTGTCCTGTAGTAGCCAGATAAGTGTTTTTTCTTTGAAAAGAATGTCAATTATATCTGGAAATAATTGTTTTGCAGAAGCACAGAACATTTTTGAAAGCCATGGCACAACAGTTTTATCTCTTTTTCTTAATAAAGCTCCTTTGCCTATTCAGAAAGAATATCCTGAATTACTGGTGTCCCAATCTCTTCCTATTCAAGCTTATCCAATTCAACAGTGTGAAGCTTTCAGAAAAGAAATACAGTAAATACTTATATTTTGGGGTAAGCATGCTTATAAGAACTCCATATATTTATATATATTTAATATATGTATGCATGTGTATACACACCCCCACATATATAAAGCTTTCATTGTAAAAACAAAACAGTTGGCAGAGCTTACTCATGAAGTGGGATTGAATCATAAACTGTTCAAGAGATCCAGGCTGATTTCCCAATTTTCTGCAAAACAATTATTGCCAAATATAATTAACATTCTCTTCAAAGACTGATAAGGACTACAACTAAATTAATTTACATGCTCAGAAATTCTAAAGCACTAATGAAAATGATAATACTCAGCAAGTAGCATTTGTTGAGATTTATTTAAATTATTTTGAAATATATCCAAGATCAAGCCTAACTTGGTTTAAGAAGCAATTTACAGTTAAAGAGCTTTGCTTAGAAAACTTGACAAAATGGAACACTCATACAAAAGATGACAGGAAGCATTACATTAGCATAGGTCATTCTTTCCCTTTTTGTTAAATCTCTATTATGCTGCATTTTCTGTTTCAGCTATACCTAAGGTTTGGACAGGTTAAAAACAAGGCATAAGCATAAAAGCAAAATATTTCCAATTCTAAAAGCCTTTTTCTATTGTTAAATTTAACAGGCAGGAGGATTCAGTGTAGTTTATGATTTTTAACCAAATCAGTTTCTGCAATTATTTATTCTACTCAGCTGAAACTGCAATTACTGCTTTGGTTATTTTTTTCATGCATGATTTAGGCAAAGATCTCCACAGGCTCATTTTTGCCTGTGGCCCATGGATGTATTTCCCTACCTTTATCAGACAAACAAACTTTAATGTAGATTGGTGATCTCAACAAAACTTTTAAATACACAAAATAGTCCCATATTCCCTAAACACCACAAGGGTATATTAATTATTTTCCTAAATCATGTTACAATGTAGTGTAATCTTTGTACTTACTGTACTTACCTTCACTGACCACTTTAACTTGTGCAGCATCTCTGTAGTTGCCCCTCAGTCAGAAATTTTTAAAAAGCATGCAAACATTCATTTTTGGAGAAAAAAAAATATTTGTTTGTACATACTGTCAGGGCTCCATTTATTTCCTGCACAAAAATAAGCCCCTTTATACCCACCCTCACTTCCCAAGCTGAGGGAGCTCTGCAACTCAGTGCTGAGTCCACCCTAAAATCCCTGGAAAATTTGGCTTTAGAAATTGAACAGAGGAAGCACCAGGAGCTCAGAACACACCTTTCACTTTTCAGATATGATCCATTGCAATGTGAACACATGGTTTTGCTTTCCCTCAGGGCTTCTTTTGAACAGTCCCTTTGCCCAAGTTCTAACAATCAGAATGGCTCAGACTGAATAAGTTCAATCTTATCCCAAGAAGACAAACAATATAATACAAAGTGATGGAAATATAATTACTAGCATTCATTTGCCAAAGCTATAATTTTCTTTTTTATTTCTGCAGCTGGTTTAAGTTTGATTGCTTCAGTGCTTTCTCCTAGAATGTTCTCTGCATAATGATTTGTCCAAGCTCTGATGAACATTTCCTATTGAATGGATATAGTTGTTTTTATCTTAGGAGTTTTTAATTTATGGACATTTTAAGGTAAGTTGCACTTCAAAAGTGTATGCATACAAAAGCAGAATAAAGGAGAGGGAAGGTATAAGATTTGATCAAGAGCTTGCTCAGAAAAATTCAGTGGCTTGACCCATTTTTTGTATGCAGAGCACTTAAGTTTCTCCCTCTTCTCTCCTTTGGTCTCTTTAAGACAACATTCTTAATTTTTAAACTAAAAACCAGTTTTACTTTATTAGTATTTGATTTACCAGAGTTTTTCCAGGTTTCATGAAAATCATTAATATTTGATAACAATAACAAACAAACATCATTACTATGATTCAATTATTTGGGTTTTTTTTGCTGTTCTTGCTAAGGTTCCTGTTGTTTTTCACTTGACTTTTATTGGTGTATATTCCAATCCATACTGATTGATTTCTCGTGAGGACAGTTTCTTCAGTCCTCATATTGGACATTTATTTTACACCTACTGTGAGATATTAATTTTATAGCATTAACTGCTCCTATGTAATACAATCTCATCAGCCCACGTGGGCCAGTTACTATGCATGAAGCTGAAAAACTCCCAGTGCCAATCTGATGTCTCTGTCCAAAATAAGGCTCCTTCAGGAAAAGCAGTAGAAGATTTGACAGCCTGTTGGAATTTTATGAAGGGGAAAAATGGGAGAGGGGAAAAAAATCAGGCTTATTAACCTGGAGCAAAAACTCTGAGCTGTCAAAGGCTAATCCTGAGACGCTTGCCATGTCTTAATTAAACACAACATGGGCTGATAAAATGCAGAGAACCAACCTAAACTCCCTGCTGTACAGTGAATTTCTGCCTAGACATCAAAGACTATTTTGAATTCTCTGCAGCTTGCAAATTGTACTGAGCAGTTGTCAGATTTCTGCATAATGCATTTCAGTCAAGACTGCAGAAGAGACTCATTTGTAAGTATTTTGCAGGAGATGCTTTTCTGACAAAAATGAAATGTTAAGTGGTAATCCTTGCTTTTATAGTGTTTAATTATAAACTACATCAAAATATATTTTTAGGGGTAGGAAAAAAATGATGCATTGCTCCAGAGGAACACTTGTCCATCCCCATTTAATAAGCTGATAATTTTTAATTTAATTTTTTTTTAAATCCAAAGTTGACAGTACATATTAGCATTATATAAATAGCACTCTAATCTCTCTTTACCCGAAAATACTGTTATTTTGGTGCAAAATTTATTCTTTCCCAACACCTCTTGAGAAATATATTTGTAAGGAGCATGACAACTTCATGTTTTGACAGTCACTCTGTATTACAGTAAAGGACCATGAGGTTTTGTTTCTTTGCTAGTAAGAATGCAGAAAGAAAATTTGGGAAAAATCTGCAGCCCCTCACATTCTTAACTTAAGACAGCAATACATTCTTTCCTTGATAGCCTTTTGCCTTACCATACATAAGTTCTACTTCTACACTTGATACCACTTCTATCATAACACTACATACAAGTCCTTTTTAGTCACATAAACATTGAAAGAGTTTTTGTGATGGATTTCAGATTTTTTTTTCAATTAAAATTTCCACGTGAAGAAACAGTACAGGAACTGGCTGTGAGGAGAACTATGGCTATGTGCAATTTGAAAGTGCTGTGCACAAACAGATCTGCAGCTACCACACCTGTCCTTTTGAAGCAGGCTTGCTTTAAAAAGTGAGTAACCTTTCTGGGAAAGATCCAGTTATGTCATCTCTGAATAATTCCTACAGAAGTGAGTGCAAAGGTTACCATTCTTAGGTGTGCATGAGATGCACAAATACACAAAATACTTCACCAGTACTTATGGCAAATGCTATAGAGCCCAAGCAGCCAATTGAAGCTTTTATCTCAAGTGGAAATTAAGATTTTTTCATTCTGATATGGTGCAACTCCACTGGAACAACAGCCATTTTTACCACTCATCCATCTGACTGCAGCCCAATCAAACCCATGGATTTGTATGTTATGGAAGGAAAAGACTGCTGCAGGTTTCAATTTACATAAATTTGGGTTGTTTACTCCCAAGTCTCTCCTCCCAGTTTAATGGTGCAGGTAGAACATACTTTCTTTACATTCCTTATGTGCTTCTTGGTGGTCTAAACTGTGCATATTTGAGAATATAAAAGTATTAATACTCCACAGAACAAGCTATGCAAACACAATCTCAAGCACGGCTATCATTTAAATCCATCTGTATGAAGGAAATGTGCAAAACCCCACACTGAGAACACAAGTATGGTATGGATGGCCTGCACATTGCTTGGCCACAAAGGCAGGTTTCAGAAACTGAATTCCTCTGCTACAGAGAAATATATTTTAGAAATATTCTACTGTTCATAAACTTCTCAGTATGTAGTAATCTATGACATCAGATATAAGGACTAGTTTATGGACATCACATAAGCCCGTTTGGAATTATAGTTTAGAATCAGAACAGGCAGTCCTGTATCAATTCGAGTATCCAAAAGCAAATTATTTTCTTTAAAGAAAGACTTTTTTTTTAATTTCAACACTCAGTTTATTTGGCACACAGATCACACGTTCATTCCATTAATCATCAAGTGCCTGCTGGCTAAAGATTAACACCATCTCATGCTAGCATTTGATTGCATTCAGTTGATAGTTACTCTTCATCGTGTTGCTTTCGCAGGAAGCAATCAAGGAAACAAGTCTAAAAACTTCCATTTGCATTATCTAAAATGTATTGGAAGCAAGGCCAAAGCTGTTTAGGTTTCCCATTTAACTCCAGAAGTCCTGAAAGCTACAAATGAATTTGAAACTTTAAGGACACTCCTGATTTCCTGTACTGCAATGGCTGGGTACAGAAACTACATAAAAGTATTAAGAGGAAGGATAATGATTTCTGCCCTGAAATCTGATTTCTGATATTGTAGGGTATAAGGATACACTTTCTATGGAAGTTATATTGTTCTGAAAAGGTTTAGAATCCCCTCCTCCAAAAGTAAGTTAAAAACCAGAAATTAATGGACTCAAACCACACTAGCAATATTCAACTATTTAAAAAAACACTTGCTCATGCAGCAACAATGCCAAATACAAATCTGGCTACATTCCATATGCAAGCCCCAAAGAAATGTATTCTTGGGGGACCCTCTCAGCTGCATTTGCATTGTAAATACATTTGCAAACTGAATTCCAAGCCAAAGTCCTTTGTTCCAGCTTCCACAAGGCATCACTGACTGTGCTGAATTTAATCATTGTGCCAATCCATTTATCCACCTAGAAAAGAGATACAACCATTCTGAGTGGGGTTCTCATGAGGAAGTGATTGAAAAAAATCAATGTGACTTGTTCTCTTAAGTCAGTTATAACCAGATATTAATGGTATTTATGTGTCTGGAGATCAAGACAGACACCTGATGGGGCTTTCATAACACCTACCTCCCACTGAAATCTCATCCTCTTACCTGGCTTATATGAGCTATTCAAAAGTTTAATTAATGAGTGATTGAAGTGCTTGTATAGTGTTTCATGAGCCTTAGAGAGATGCATGTAGCCTGAAAGCATTTTTATTCAGTCCTCTAGAATGATAAATCAAAGACTTGGGAATGCTGGTTGTGAAACTGCAGCTTTGTTAAGGGACTTTGGATATTTTTAGACTTTGGCCTCTTAATGCGGGAATGACACAGGACATTCCCAAGGCAGTCTGAAAGTAAAAAAGAACTTATCTGGCCCTCATAACATTCAGCCAAGTGTGTAGTATGGAATCAATAATTTTTTTTACCATGTAGGAAGTCCTTTTACACAATTTACAATCTGCTTGTTTGCCTAAATAATTTTATTTTGCGTAATATTTTATCAAATGCCTGAAAGACTTGCCAGTTTTGAAAGATCCAGTTCCACATATGCAGAACAAGTATTGTAGATAGTCTTATTTGTCTACAAAGAACACAACTGGTTTTTACCCAAGTTCTGAAACCACTAGTCAACTATCAGCTTTTTGAAAGAACATATCACTTGCCTGGAACAACTAATAATTAACAAAATATTAAAAGAAAAAGAAATATAAATGGACTGTGAAATTTGTTTTATAGTCCTTATAAGATGATTTTCTCTATGAGAAAGTTTTGAAAAGATGCTTGAAATTATATTGCCACCTGCTGTTTCCAACAAAAAGCAGGAGCCAGGTCTTGTTGGCTAAATTATTTAAAATTCTGCAAGTATAATGGAAATCTATTAATTTAGGGAATCCATTGTGAAGCAGGGGATGAAATCTCACTGCTTTTATCACCCATCTTGTATGTTCTGTGCTTCACAGGACTTCATAAGCAGCGCACTATTATGAAAAACTCCAGGCTTTCTTTTCTTTCCTTCCCTTGTCCTAGTCCCTAAATGAAAGTTTCAAAGACTTCTTAGCTGATGTATAGAAAGTACCAAACAATAAGCTGTGCCGCGCTATTTTTGGGGGGGGGGAAAAAATGAAGTGATTTTGTCTGATAAGTGATAATTTTACAGAAATACAAGCAAAGCAGTTCAGAGATTTTGTGCACACAATAAACTCCACCTCAACTGTCTATTTCTCTATTATTGCTTCGTTTCCTCTGCAGCCTCCCAAGGGCAGCACTTCTCTTACCATCAGCTGGAGAACACACCAGAGGACGTCTCCCTCTGTCTCTGGTACCTTCGGCAAGAAAAAGGTCTTGCCAACCACAGCTAGAAGCAACACTATTCCAGACAGATCTAGAGGTCTTAACCTCCTTTGAAATAACAGAATTCAGTAAGCATTTGGCCTTAAGCACAAGCCTAAATGCCATCTCGAATAGTAAAATAACTCAACGGGCTCCGAAGCATTTTATTCAATCTCACTATATTCTTTAACACTACCAAATGCTCCTTTGAAAAACGTAGATTCACTTGATTTGGAGATTTAAGGGTCCCATTATTCCAGAAGGTGTACCCACACAACAGCAGTGCTCAATCTACGGCTCGGCAGGAGCGGGATGCAGAAATCGCCCCGGGACACGGCAGGGACGGGACGGGAG